GCTAGGTCTGAGTTTAGAATTTCACACGCTTTAGATTTCTACTTGAGAACTTGGCAGTGTTTAAGGGGTTGCTCCTCCAACCCTTGATCTGCCCTGCTTCTCTCTCACTTCTAGTTTTATTCTGTATTGAAAATGGCCTATGAATTACCTGCATGGACACTCCAGCCTGCATGCATGTGTCCCCTCCAGCTTTGTATAGCTCCCCTTTCCTAGTGTTGGGCAAATGGGTGGCACAGTCATCCTACAGGATGGCCCTGAAGACGGTTCGGGGCTGTTTGGGTAGAGAATTCTGGAGATGATCTAGAAGGAGTTTGAAAACTCTGGATAGGCATGGCTCATGGATTTGTTGCCTGTGAGGAGGGCCAGAGCAGGGTAGGAACGTCTCCACCCCTGAAGGATAGTCTGTAACAGTGACTGAGGGTTCAGAGCCACACCCACAGAGATCTGAATCCTGGTTCCATCACTTATTAGCTAAGACATCTTGAAGAAGTTATTCAGTGTCTCTTTACTTCGCTTACTTACCTATAAAATGGGAACAGTCAGAGTCTATACCTCAGAGGTTGTGGGTACTAAAGGATTTACTTTCATATTATAAGTCCAGGAGGGTATCTGGCATATAGCAAATATGTCACAAATATGAACTATTATTATTCTTTTAACTCCAGAACCCAGAACAGTGCCTGACATGAGGCTGTAGTTGCTTTAAGAAACTCTGAATGAATAATAATTAAATAGTTGAGAATAGTGTGTCTTTCTATTACCTTTCTTGGTGTTTGGTTAGAAGTGACTACAAATTCCAGTTTGCATAGCCTAAATAGAAATCAGTATTAAAATACATATTGAGGTAAAAGATCAGGATTACTTTTTATACTTAATTATCAACTAAAATAATTATCACCGAACTTTTGAAAGCAAATTACTTTATAAAAAGTAGATTAAAAATCAGAAAGCCTCTATTTTGATCTTGGCTAATGATTGCCCTAGAAGGTCAAGAGTCTGCTCTTAGGGTTGACTAAGAAGGCAGAAACAAATGTCTTGTAGTGTTATATCTTTTATAGTAGAACTGCCTTTTAAAGGAAACTCTATTTCTTAAAGTGTGAATTCTAGTGAGAATTAGAGAAACAGAGAGATCAAGGATGCTGCAAAAGTGTTACCTGAACTACTGGAAGTCTGACTTACCACTTACTCATATGAAGGAGTGTATAAAAGGAGCAAGCTTGAGGGAGAAAATTGGAAGTTTGTTTTTTTAATACATTAGGGTAATTTTGCCTTTAGACATAAGTGGAAATGGTGAACAGGTAGTTTGCTGTACCCTCTGGAGATCAGACTGGAGTTGTCACCATAGAAATGGTACTTAGGACCCAAGACTAGATCAGTCCACCTAAGAACTTAGTCTATAGCCAGAAAAGGAAGTCTGAGGACCGAGTCCTGAGCCACGCATACGTTTGGAGGTTGAGACATGAAGAACTGACATCAGAGAAGGAGCTTAAACTAAGAGAATGTGTGTCCAGGAACCAATGAAAGAAGCGTTTTGAAGGGGGGAGTGGTCAACAGTGTCACGTTGCTGACAGATAATAGGTAAAGCAGAATGAAGACTATGAGTTGGCCATGGGATTTGGCAATAGGGGGGTCATTGTGATTTTAACAGAGTAATATACTTGCAGAGGTGATAAAGAAAGCCCAACTGCAATGGATTCAAAAAAGCAGGTAAGGAGAATTGGAGAGAGCGAGTTTGGACAACTCAAGATTTTTGGCTACAAAGGAGAGTGAAAAATAGAAGAGGGATATTACAGCCTGTATGGATATGCACATGCTGTAAGTGGTCCAGTAGAGAAGAGAAAAGCTGGTGATTCAAGAGACACAGGTAGCAATCCTTCCAACAAACTCAAACAAGGTATGCTTGCTGGATTCCATTGGCACAGGCAACATTTGCCTGGGGAAATAGATTTATCCATGTTATTTTTTCCTTCATATACATGCATACCCAAAAGTTGTTACATATGAATATTTTAAAGAAAAATGCTTTTAAGGAGCCATAATAGAACCATTGAAAAGTAAATGGTTGAAATGGTCTTTGCTTGCCTCCCTCACTTCCGCATTCTTCCTATGAAAGGTAATGGACATTCTTGTGGCCCTAAATTTCAACTAAAAAATTTCATGTTCTGGGGTTAATGAGTGTGTAACTCCTCCTGTAATATTTCAATGTACTGAAATATTTAGGATGAAAGTATATGAGAGATTTGCTTCAAAATAACTTAGCTGGGGAAAAGGGACGAACTCTTTTTTCCCATGAAGCTGAAGTGATGGGTATAATGGCAATTCCTTATACCATTCACTCTGCTTCTGCATGTGTTCCAAAATTTCCATAATATCAATTAAGAATTAGAAGAAACGTAGTGTCAATAACATGTTAATTCAAAGATATCCATTTCAGATAATTTGGTAATAGGTGAATATTTGAGGCACAGGAATTTCTTTGGCATTTTCAAATCTTATCAGTTACTTTGCTTTTATATACAGCACAAACATCTTTTTTAATCAGTAAGTGTCTCAGTTGCTTGGAGATAGACTTAATTTGAATGCTTAGTGTGCAAATAATTTGGAAGATTGAATTTGTCAAATAAAGGTGTGGTTCTCTTAAATATCCTCTCACTTTAGGTAAGCATAAAAAAATCCAAGAACACTTACATTATGAAATACGTTCTGAGGTAAAGTAATAAGACAGTTAAAAAGCAATGGTAGTCCACTTGGTTGTTATTTAAAATAATAAATAACTTATTATGCACAGAAGGTGAAATTACATTGCAGTAATAGTTACCATGTTTTAAAATTTTCTGAAATGTGTCACTTATATTGCTGTATATTGCTATTATTTCTAAAATTTAGTTAAATAAGATTTTTAACCTTTCAAAACTAGCAAATATAGAAATAACAGTGTTGCTATATTAAGTCTTCAAATATTAACCACTAGGTATTCTTTAGTGTTTTCCAGTTACTCATTAACCATTTTTTAGTGTTATTGTTACCCTAATTGTTGGTAATTTCCACCGGGAAAATCTGAATAACGAACTCCAATAAATTTTCTAGATCAGAAGAATATTCAGGCCTTATTAGTAATATTCCTCTTGCTCACAATATATTCATTAAAAAAAAGCCCATTTTCATTTGGGACCTATAAATTCCACTTCAAAAATCAAACCCAAAGTTACACTGCTGTGTAGTTTCTGGTTTCTTTTGTATGGCTTTAATGCCCTCAACATTTCCTTGGTGTAAACTACTGAGCAGGGGAACAAGATTTCCTTTGTAACTGATACCTAAATTTCTATTCTGCTTTAAGCGTCTAATTTGCACTGTGAGGACATATAATTTGAGACTTGTAGCTATATCACGAAAGTACAACAGTTTATGCTGATCTCTAATTTTCTGTGTTGTGCTGGCTGTAATTTAAATTTTTTGCATGTTTTGAACTGCACTGCAAACCAGCATACATGAGAAACCTTTGTACATTGACAGGGACTGGGAAAAGGATGCCTTGTTCTGATTTCGGATGAGCATTCCCTTTTCACAACTGCAGGTGCAAGAGAGCCCATTCATAATATTTGCTTCAAATCTGTTATAGTTACTGGCTGGAAATACAATGCTATCACATGAGAACTTGACTAATCTTTACAAGCACAATGAATATTTAAAAATTATTACTATTATTAGCAAATTCTAGAGGCAAGTAGGACTCTTTCCATGCCTATGTTTTGAGGACATAATACATGCTGTTTGGGTCATTTTACTACTATGTGTGTATGTGTTTACTAAATCTAGAAAAATACTTTGTCACTTATTAACACAGGATGGAATTATGCTCAGTGGAAAATCTGTTGTAACAAATGCATGTTCCACTTAAGAGATAATTGATAATGAATGCTACTCTTTCCTTTGCCTTAAGTTTCACTTATTTTTAAATCAACACATAAGCCAAAGAAATAACCACAAGATAAAAATTTACTCTAATTGTTCTCATTTCACATAAATGGGTAAATCTCATTTTGAAACAAATATTAGATAACTATATAGCAAAAAAAATAAGTGAAGTTAGCTGGATGTTTCCAGTATAAACCCTTATGTATAAGGAAATGACTTGACCATTTTAACTAGCTTCAGGCAGAAACCTGTTACACCAGTTCAAAGCATTGGAGAAAATTTTAGTCTACAACACAATTATAACTTTCCTTCACCTGGAGAGGTAAGAGAAAGATTCTAATAGAACTGAAGGACTGGATGTCCAAACACAGATAAAGTCAATTAAAAAATAAACTGGCAACAATCATTGCATTGGCAAAATTACCTGTTTGGCATATGTATAAAACAATATGAACTCATCCCAAACTGGCGGTTATTACTTGCTACATGTTTTTACTGTTTGCTGGTAACCCAGTAGTATCACCTTACATTTGCACATAATTGAAAAGTGCCAAAACACTTTTGCAACTTTAATTCATTCAGGCTAGTCACTGTGATGGGAGAAACTTGTCTGCCGTCATCCTTTTCTTCTATGGCCTCAGAAGCGGAAGACACCCATTTATCCTCAGCCTTGAATCAAATGGGAGCTAGTTAGTGGTTAGCTCCATATGCGAGAAAGATGGGGGTCATCTTTAAGGATGCCTTCGAGGATGGGACAGAACCCCTAAACTTGCTCTTGTAAATACGATCGCCCACCCTTCCAAACGTCCATTCTATTACTGCTTCCCCAGCACCCACGAGACACACACAGTATCACCACTTGTAATTATCGCTGTCACTCCAGGGCGGAAATGCTTGACACCTGGCCTCCCTCAGATCACATGTAATGGGGGACGCTGCCACACACCGCCCCCTTCTGAAATTCTAAGGGTAGATGGGAGGACGCTGACACCGGGCCACTTACCTGGCCGGGATGCTCTTCGTGACAGCCCAAGACCTTTGAGTTAGAGAAGAAAGCAAAAGAAAAAAGAAAAAGAAAAACTTACCACTTTGGCCCAGTCCAAGAATAACTGAAAACACCCAGGCCGCCCGGAGAAATGGGGCAGGACCTGGCCGGCAGTTTTGCAAGCAGACAAATGTGGCAGTAAAAAAAGCCAGGGCCGAGCAGCACATAATGCAGAGCAGCCGGCTAAGCGCCCGCCTGGGTGCTATCCGGATGCGCGCTCGCGCCTCCCAGGCGCACCTCCGCGCGGGCGGACCAAGTGTCGGTAGGACGTTTTAAGCAGGCCCGGCAGGCGGACCCGGTGGCTCGGAACAAGCGGTGCAGGTACGCTGGCCCGGGCACCACTAGGCATTTCAGGGCCCCAGCGGCCCTCCCAGCTCCGCACGGCGGGTCTCGAAATCTCAGCGAGAAGCACCTCCTCCGACGGCCAGTGGCCCGGGGCGGCGACGCGAGCGGGGCTCCGCAGCCCGCTCTGGGACAAAGAAAAGAGCTTTTGTTTCTCTCCAGCCGACGGGAATTCTGCTGCATAAATCAGCTTAGCGAAGAGCCAAACACAATCAAACCCAAACAAAGCCCGAAGCTGGGGGGAAAAACCAGCCTAATGTACATTCAGTGGGTGATGCTGCATTTGTGGGAGGGGACGCCGGTGAGGCCGAAGGGAAAAAAAAAGTCGATGGCGCATCAATCAGCGCCAGTTTCTTCCACAGGTGGGCAGGGAAGCCAACTCCACTTAGTTGCAGCTTTGCAGCCCCGTTAGCTGAACAGCGGGCAGAGTCGAAGCAGTAGCGTCCTGGCTGGCGAGGAAGAAAGCTCTGGGTGCCAGCAGTCAGAGGAGGCAGCTCTGGGAGCGCCCTAGAAGCCCGTGCCGGTGCTGGCGGATACAGAGCGAGGCATCGCAGCTTGGCCAGGAGTGGAGCGCACCGCCGCGAGCGAGGGAGGTTCCGCGGGGGTGCAGAAGCCCGGCCTCGCGGGGCGGGAGCTTCGTTCCCTGGTGCTTTTGGTCCCAGAGTGCAGTTCAGGCTTTCGGTCCAGAGCCCGGGCTGCTAGCGCGCTCTGGGGCGCACCCCGGGAGTAAGAGAGGTAGGCGAGTTGGTGGGGGTGGGGGGGTGGGCTGGGAGGTGTGGTCCTGCCCGGGCCCCAGGGTGAGGGGTTGGGGCGGGGGGACTCCCAATGTGCGGATAGTTAGGCGCACTTAGGGCCATGAGTTGCTAGGAAACGGCCCCACGCTATGGAGCGCCTCGCCTCGGCAGCCACTGCAACAGCAAAAGCTCGGAGTAGCGTGGGCGGGACATTGATGAGGCATGAAGTCACTGCGGCCCACACTCGTTCTTTGTTTTGCTCACTCCAGCTCCTTTTCTCCCCGTTGGCTCCGATGGTTGCCATTCCCGTAGTTCACAAGATCTCCTGATGCGTACCCATGCAACAGGAATGGCACTCTCTGCTCCCTTTCCCTCTCTCCCCGAATTCCTGAACCCCAGCGCTCGCCTAGCGGGTGTAGAGACTCGCTCAGCACGAGTGGTAGCTGCGCGCAAACCCCAGCCTCTCACCGGGCTCCACGCAGTCCTTTGTTTGGAGATACTCACTGCTCGGCAGCTGCCGTACGCAAAGTGGAGTCCCAGAGCCTCTCCCCACCTCCAACACCCTCTGTCCCTCGGGTGCGCACTGCCCACTTTGCTTGCAGAGTTAGGAGCTCACCCTTTGCCCCACCCCAAGACTCCCCAGCACTTGGAGAGTTGGGCCAGTCCACAGGGGCTGTACTCCGAACTGCAGGCCGATATTTCTCTCGGCTCCTCCACTCGGAGGGAACATCGACCTTGGGCTGGACAGCCCAGCTCTTTGCAGGGTTATCGGAGTGGGTTTTTTGACCTTAATCGTCACCTTCCCTATAAACGGAACAAAGAAGTTACAGAGGGCGGCGAAACGGAAGAGAGAAGCTAGGAAAGGAGGTGAGAGAGCATTTCTGCCTGCCTGCAAGTCAGAAATTTAGGTGCAAGCAGGGAGCGGGTGTGGGCAACTGTCAGGGAAGCTGCGCGCCTCCTTGGGTCGCGTCACCACCAGGCTAAGCCGAGGGAAAAAAAAATCCAGCCGCCCGGATTGAAAACAAGGCGCTGTTTTCAATCTGAAACAGAGTGATGCTTCTCTTTTTCCTCCAGGGGCAGGAGCGTTTCACCCTGGTATAATCCGACCTCTCGTTTTCCACTAGCAGCCTTCTCTTACAGGCATCAGATCCGTCCAGCCAGGTCAAGGTGAAATATGCGGGAGTTTCCCTCCTTACTTGCTTGATAGTTTCCATCGCCGTATTTGGAGTAAAAACAAGTAGGAGGCTTTCTCTCTCTCTCTCTTTTTTCTTTCTGTTTTCTAATTGTTAACAAGTGGAAAGTACCTGATTAATAAACCACAACATTGAAAACTCCCCCTTTTCAGGTGTGGACTGCACACTGAAGCCCACAGAATTAGCTAAGCAAACCAGGAACCCACTTGGAAAATTACAAGTACCTTGGATCTACAAAGCAGGTTTTTTGTTTTTTCGGTTTTTATTTTGCTTGAAACCAACCGAATGATGCAAACCTGACAGACCAGTACTTACAAGCACAGTCCCACTACAGGCAATGTCCTGTAAATATGTAGAATGAAATCCTGCTCAGCTTCACTATTTATTTTCTTTCCTTGGTTCCAAGTTTGAACTAGAGTTTTGCTTTTCCTGACCTTAAAGGAAAGGCCTGAAAAGTGGCTGGATGGGAATGGGGCCTTGAAATTTGAACACGAAATGAGCATATTCAGACTCTAATGAGTACTCTCCAGGGGTGTAGCATGTGTACAAGTATTTCGCAGAGATTATTTCACAGCCCAAAGGAATGCAGCCACCCTTGAGGCAATGCAGCGCTATAAGGAAAAAAAAAGTCAACCTGTAATACCTATAAGGGTGTGTGTAAATGCGCTTACTGTAAAGAAAGACATCTGCATTCTGTTTTGTGAAACGCAGGCGAACGTATTTCAGGATGCCACTTTTATGGAGTTGTTGAAGAATAAACACAGTGCCATTCATCACCACTTCCCAGTTACAAAGAGGTTACAATTCTGGTTATCAAAATAAAATAAAACAGAATATCCTAGCTGTGAGACTGTGATCCTTGTAAGTTATTTATGAACAAGTTATCTGTACACTTTGGCCTATAAAGATAAAGGTGAATTTTCTTGAACCCTGCAAATCATCGGTAGGGTTTTCTTACGGTAAATAGAATCAGTAGCCTAAGAACAAAACAGTTTCCTTATTTCCAATAAGTGTCATTGATCACCACATGACACTCATTCCTCTTCCTGTAAGAAAATGTACAGCTTATTGTGAAGAAATGTGGCATGAGCTTCCTCATTTACCTGAAGAATTTTTAAATTATTTTTTTACTTGAAGAATTCTAACAGAGAAAAAAATGTTCCAGATTAATCCCTGTCTTTATCATGTTCTCCTGTGTTACTCTGAAATTTCTGACAGCTAATTTTTCATCATTTGTGATAATAAGAGCAAGTGAAATTCACAGGTAGTATGAAAATAACATTTCAGCTATTCATTCTAGCCTTACTATCATCAGATTCTTTTAGTTGGTAGAAAGTCATAAAATTAGATGAATTATGGTTTTTTTTGGTTCTTTACCCTTGTTTCCTCACTAACTCAGTTCATGGTGAGAAACGAGTAAGCTATAGATGGAGTGCAGGGATGCTCCTTTTAGTGTGTATTCAGCTTTTTCACAGGATTTTGTCTAAATCGTTGACCTCATAGTTACAGCTAAAACCATATTTACATTTTATATAACAGATGATTCTCAAATTATGATAGGGTTACGTCCTGATAAAACCATCGTAAGTTGAAAATACCATGTCAAAAATACATTTCATCCACCTAACCTACTGAACATCGTAGCTTAGCCTAGCCTATTTTAAGCATGCTCAGAACACTTACAGGAGCATATAGTTGGGCAAAATCACCTAACACAATGAACGCACTGAGGAGGACAAGCTGTTTGCCCTTGCGATCACATGGCTGATCCCAGGCTATGGCTGGCTGCCACTGCCCAGCGTCATGAGAGCATACATACCCGCACATCCCTAGCCAAGGAAAGATCAAAATTAGAAATTCCAAGCATGGTTTCTACTGGATTCACACTGCTTTCACACCATTGTAAAGTTAAAAAATTGTAAGTCACACCATCGTAAGTTGGGACCACCTGTATCAGAAGTTGGTATTACAGGTAGTATCTAATAGGTTATTTAATAGGCTTTAAGCAGATGTTCACAAGTTGTCTATAAGCTTGCTTCATCAACAGCTCTTAAGAGATGATCCAGCCCAGCCAGTGGGATGTATTACTTTGACTATGACTTCAAGCTTCTTCCAATAATAAAGCACATAAGCAAGCCACTGAAAGTTACTTTTCACTGAAATATTACATAAGTTAGTGTTCCTCATACTGTGGACTGACCCTGTCCTCAATATAATCACCTGCAGAGTGATCCCTTCGGTGTATTGCAGGAGATTCTGAATTCGTAGAGCTGGTGTGGTGCCAAGCAATATGCATTATTATGAGTTTCTCAGATGGTTCGTTATGCGCTGAGGTTTAATAACCCCCACCATAATGGATTAATACAGAGAGGTTCCTCAAAGGCCTCATGTGTGATTATTGACAAACCCCAGTATCAGATGCAAAGTCAGAGAAAAAGGAAATGCTTGAGCCAGTGTTTCTTCTCAGGTGATCCTGTGGATGATTAACTCTATGAGATGTTATTGCTTTAAGCCACGAGACTTCCATAACTAAGTGTGGGAAGTACTGGGTTAAAGTTAAATTAAATTCTTTACTGGCGGATTTTCCAGAAACTTGAGTAGGCCAAAACACACTAGATTCTCCCAAGAAGAACCCTTTATTCGGGGAACATTTTACAGGCTAATTTTCTAGAAAGCACACTGATGAGACTTAATCCTACTTTACAAATGTGGAAACTGAGAACCAGATTGGCGAGGAGACTGACCTCACTTGGAGAGAATCACTGAGTGGGCAAGAATCAAAGCTCTGATTCTTCTCTACCACCTCATATCAATGATGACTTTGGGTTTCAAGTAACAGCCAGACTGTGGCTGCCACGTAAACAGAGAAAGAAGGAAAGAAAGAACAAGAAATTATTGGAAGGAAATTG